GTGAGGGGTATTTCAGAAAGCACAGCGTATGCTGGGGCAGGCAGGTAGCGCCTCTATTCAGCATGGCTTTGCTGTGTCATTCCTTGGTGTGATCAGCAAAGGGCTTCCTGTGCAAACCCTGCCCTAATTCTGCAAGAGCCAGGATTAGAACAGGAGATTATCTTCTGATCGTGTGCAGATAATGCCACTCACCCACTTACTCTGAGTAAGTACATGCCAGATGGGATGGTCCTGCAATGACCTTCCTACAAAAAGCTGCAGACAGCACCTGCACTGTTCAGTGAGGACCATGGGGTGATGTGGGGCCTTCAGCCCTGAGCCGTGGCCGGACTGCGACCCTGAATGATGGGCAGAGCCAGGGGCTTTCACGGGGCTGGTGGGGCCCTGGGGGCCATTGAGCTGGCTCTGTATGTTTGTCACTTTGTGCCTGCCCCTTGTCCAACCTTGTCTGTTTCCTCCTGCCAGCATTCACTTCTCCAACAAAACGGCTTTCCCTCTGGCTACAATGTTTGCAGAACTATTTGCTTTATAAATCATAGACCACAACGTATTCATTGCACATACACACTTCCAAGCTTGAGAGATCCAAAGTGTTCCCTCTTTTATAGCAACCGTAACGAGGCACCAGTAAAACCGGGGATTTGGCTTGCCTGGAGATGCTCGTCCTCAACCTTTTGTTAATTTTAGGCAACAAAGACGGATGTAGGCTCCTCAGATTCACAGGAGCCACTGCTAAAAGCCATCAGAACAAACACTCATTTTAAACCTGAAGCTGTCTCCATGAATGGGGAAACGCTTTGACATTGTGGAACGCCACTGAAAAACATTTTGAGTGCCTTCTTGGATGAGAGTTTAAATGACATTGCGTTTTTACTGTTTATTTTCTATTCAGCTTATATTTACAGACTTCATTCATTCCCTGAAGGAGGCAGAGCACCGGATGAATTAATCTCCCTCATTTCAAGGTGTTTCACTGCTTCTGCTGACAAGTAAATAATGAAGAAGAATTATGGGAATTTTGAAGTTTTCTGAAAAAAAAATATATATATATATTTCCAGGAATGATTATATTTAATGTGTGTTTGTAAACACTGGGAAATAAAGACAACGATCTGTAAAAGCGTAATTGGGATAGCAGCATGCAGAGATTCACAGGGCAGAGACTTCTGTAGGAATCCTGCCCCACTTTGCAGCTTGGCCCAGTTCAACTATTTCCCGTAAGAGTTCCCAGGCTGCTGTGTAAAGCCTTCAAAGATGGGTAACTGCCATAACCCTTCACTGATTATTAAGAGTAAATTATTGTCCCTGTTAAAAATACACAATTTGCCTTTCACTCATGTGTCTAATTCCAGTTTGCTATCAAGGAGCCTTGTTTATCCGATAGGTTAAAGACCCATTCCCGTTCACAGGTCTTCTCACTCTGTGAACCACACCAGAAAAATGGGAGGGCCAGTGTGGGCCATCATGTCTCATTCCTTCCCATTGCTGCCAGCCATGCTGTCAAGTCCATTTTGAGCTGAATCTTAAATCTAATTGTGTCTTGCCCCTTGTGTTCCTGTCAGGAATCTATTCCAGAACAACATTTCTTCCAGTTAGGAACAATCTCACTTCCAGCCAAAAAGTGTTGGTGCCAACTGATACCTATTCGTTTCTGTGCCAGCACTGCCTGCTATCGAGGGTCATCTCCTTCCTTCTCAGTGTTCTCCGCTCGTGTGCTGGGACAGGCAGGCAGCCCCAAGCTGTACTGAGAAGTGGGGGCTGGGAGGGACTGCAGTGAGCAGTGGCTGCTCAGTGGCTGCACAGCATGGCATTCCTCCACCCTTCTCCAAAGTAACGGGGCTCAATCCAGGCCACAGCAGTGAGGGTGAATCCGACAGACTCCAGTTTGATCTGGCGATTCCTGCATGGGACTGATGGCACCTCGCTGGGCTGGGCGCTTCCTGAAGGTCTGGGAAATGCTTCTGCTGCTAATTAATGTGAATCGAAGTGTGTGGGTATGCAGTGTAAATACATGAGCCTTTAAAAGCAGAACTGTCAAATAAAGTGTTACACTCCATCGGCTCCCGCTGCATCCGCTCACCAAACAGCAGCAGCCACTTGGATAACACTCGAATCTGCTCATGGATGCGTTTGACATCCATAGTGGAAAAATATACATTTTATGATGAATAAAAAGAGCCCAGCCCAGGCAGCAGGTACTGAAGGCTAAACCACTTGTTTTAGAGGGCTTTACATTCCGGTTGTAAAATTTCCTCTGGCTGGAAGCTGGTGCCCAAGAAGAAATATTCTTTCTGTTATGTATGATTTGCCTGCAAATCCTATTAGTCTTCTGCACAGCACATCACAGGAGAAGAGGCACAGGAATGTCAGAGCAGGGCATTTTGCTAAGCGCTGTGGTTTAGATATGCGCTTGGTACAAGGAAGACCAAAGCACTGTCACTTCAGTGAATGGTGCCTATTTTGAGGTTTATCTTCTATTTTTGGAACTGAAAACTCCAAACTATTTTAGTTTTTTCTATGCGGAGGGGGAGGAAGGGAAACACTGTCTTGCATAGTGAGAATGGTGCATCCGTTGAACTGAATGTTGGTGCTGACTTTCAGGCAACGTCGCTTGGTGTTTTCCTCATACAGACCTGCTATAATAAAGCAGAGCCCTGAACCTGCAGAGCTTTTGGCATTGGCATGGGACTGCGAAAATGAGAGCAGCCCTACTGACTTCAGTAAATGCTCAGTGAATTCTCCAGTTTAGAATGGAAGTATCTCTGTGCATGAGGAGGACTCATCTCTTGCAAGGCAGACCCACACATACCATAGCACAGATGCGACATTTAGGATAAGGACATATATATGAGCTCAGCAGAGTGCAGAGCAAACCCATGCTGCTCAGGGCTTCCCATCCCAGCTCAGCGCCATCTGCTCCTCTCCCCAGTGACCCAAACTTGGGGATCTGGTTTCAGGTCCAAGTCTGACCTCCAGCCTTGCAGAGACCTTTCTGAGGGCTCAGGCTGCCCATGGCAGGAGCTGTGCCACCACACAGAGCCCTTGGGCAACCCAGCACTTGGATGTGCCCCCCGGCTGCTCCTGCTCCCAGTTCTGGGGTGGGAAACAGGCTGAGGGATGCACGACTTTGCTTCTGTCAGTTCAGGTTAGTCCCTCAACATTCACATTACTGTAATGCAGTTGAAAAGGAATCCACTAGTTACAGGAAATGATTTACAGGACACAAGGCGCAGCATTTCAGAGGTCTCATGTGTACCATAAAAAATATATTATAAAGAAATAATCTCTTTCGGAACTGGAGCTGCACAGAGAGAACACATGTCCAGCTGAGAGCAGCATTGAGCTTTTGTTCATTATGGGAAAAGTCTGCGCTCTTCATCTTATTTGATGAATAATTTTTCTCAGAGCTCAGTATCTGGTTAATATTGGCAATCAATATTTTTTTTCAATTGTTGCTTTTGCCGTGAGATCCAGTTCAGCTGAGATTCCAATGGCATTTGCTCAAAGGTGCTCCCAGTTGAGCATCATAAAGCAACAGTGAGATTCAGTGCCAGCCTGGAGCTCCCTGCAGAATGTAGCCATGAATGAAGCTCCCAGTGCTGTGGCCACATGGGGCTGGGCATGTGCTCTGTGCTTCTCCAGCTTATTCTCAGCAGCTGGCGATGACCCCGGGGTTGAGTCCATGTGCAGCTCCTCTGCAGTGTATATCACTCAGTTCAGGTGCTGGCTCTGCTAGCAGTGTGCAGCACGCAGTCCCAGCTGGAGGTTGGGGACAGCAGGTCAGGTAGTGCTCATTCACCTGTGAAGGCTTTGGCAAAGTACTGAGCGTCTCAGCCACTGTGCATCGCAGCAAGAGCAGAGCTGCACAGCTGGGGAGGCATGGAGAGTGGTGATGTGCCCCAATGACACAGGGCAATGCCTTTGGGAGAGACACCCATAAGACACAAGAATGAAGGGCAGGAGCAGCTGTGAGATACTAAAGCACAAAATCTTTGCTGAAGCCATAGCTGAGATCTGGAGGTGCGATGTGCTGGGACGTGAGGCTGGGAAGAGATGGTGGCTGCTCCAGAGAGTTGCCATGGGAGGTTTTTGGCCACAGCCTGTTCCAGGACACTGCTCTCTGAGCAGGGTGTGGTGCAGCCTCAGCTCTTGGCTTCCCTCACTGCAAATCCAATACACTGAGAGAGGCACTCATATCTATTCCACCAGCACAACAGCTGCCAACAGCCCATGCTCATGGGCTGCAGCCCATCTCTCAGACTCCATTGATGGAATCTGCACGCTCTGCTCCTCATCTGCAGAGGAACAGAGCTGAGGGTCTCTGACCCCTCTGCACACTGCAGCAGGAGCAGAGATTCCCGGGGAACCTCTTTGGCGTGCTCGTAGGTGGGGGCTGGAAGAGTTGGAGAGGAGCAGTAGGCTGGGAGCACCGGGGGGTCTGACAATACAGGATGCATTTTGGGGCACCCAAAGGGGAGTAAGCGGGGCTAACGTGTGAAGGAGCTGCCGCAGGGCGATTTCTGCTGAGGAACAGGGCAGGTGGTGCAGAGGGCAGCGGGCGCGGGGGTGCAAACGGGGCGGGCAGGGCGCGGGGCCGCGGACCCCGGCGCTGCCGAGCGCCGAGCTCCTTCCGGCGCCGTCCCCGGTGCTCGCCGCGCTGTCCGCGGTGCTCCCGGCGCTGCCGGCGCGGCGTTCGGCGGGGCCCGGCGCGCTCCCCGCGCTCTGCACCGCGGCCGGGGGCGGGGGCGGGCCCTCCCCGCGCCGGGAGCGCGCTCCCGCCTCCCACCCGGCACAAAGTTTCGCGGCAGGAACTCGGGAGGCAACAGTGCGGAGCCGGCGGCGCTGAGCCCAGGCGCGCCCCGGTGCCCGGCGGGGGCCGGCGCCGAGCGTGCCATGCGGGGCTCCCCCCCGGCGGCGGCGGCGGCGGGGCGGGGGGGCGGCGGCGCCCCATGCGGCCGGGGCGGCCGGGAGGCGGCTGACACCATGTGCGCCCGCTGCCCTGGGCGAGGAGCGGGGAGCAGCCATGGCCCCCCCCGCGCAGCCGGGGGTGCCGGGCGGGCGCGGCTCTAAGGTGCCCCCGGCGCGGAAGCTGCTCTGCATGTGCAGCCTCTCGCTCTGCCTCACCTACCTGTGCTACAGCTTGATGGGGGGCGCGGGCCCGGCCGCCCTGCGTTCCCCGGCCGCGCTCCCCGCCACGGCGGCCCCCGGCGCCCCGCGTTCCCCGGCCGCGCTCCTGGGCACGGCAGCCCCGCGCTCCCCTCCCGGCCCGCCCGGCAGCGCCGCTGCCCCCACCGCCTCCGCCGCTCCGCCGCGGGCCTCCAACGGCAGCCGGGACGCGGGCGCCTGGACGCGGACGCCGCTGGCCCCCGGGGAAGCGATCGCGGCGCAGAGCGGAGCCTTCGAGAGAGACCCGCAGGAGTCCAGCACCACGGACGAGGAGCTGAGCCGCGCCGGGAGCCGCGGCACCACGCCGGACTACGGCGAGAAGCGGCTGCCGCAGGCGCTCATCATCGGGGTGAAGAAGGGCGGGACGCGGGCGCTGCTGGAGGCCATCCGCGCTCACCCCGACGTGAGGGCTGTGGGCACCGAGCCCCACTTCTTCGACCGCAACTACGAGAAGGGGCTGCAGTGGTACAGGTGAGCGCGCGGAGCCGCGCCGGGAGGGGCTGAATGGGCTCAGAGGTCCCGGCGGGGCGGGAGGTGCCGGGGGGGCCTCCTGCAGCCGCGGTGGTTTAACGCGGTGCACCGGTGGCGTGCGGAACATTCCCCGGCTGCTGCTGGGCGCTGAGCAAAGCGCGGCAGTTCAGCTGCACGGCGCCCGAATGGGTCAGAAATTAACAACTGCGGAAAGAAGGAAGGGAGCGCGTTGTTCCAGGTGATGCTGTGGGTTTTCGAGTGGAGAAGGATGCTTCTGTCACACCGGCTGCAGAGGATTCACCCCACAATTAAGATTTACTCTTTATTCAACAAGTTCCACATCCAAAAGTTTTTGAAGATTTCTTCTTTTCGTTGCAGGATTTAATTAAAAATCCCAAAATGTGTTTGACATCGTGTAACACTTTAAGAGACTCTTATACTAAGAGTTCTGACTACTAGAAAATCCTGAACCGCAGTGAGGGAAGGCTGAGTGCCTCGGCAGGTGTAGCAGAGCAACGAGTTGTGCTGGCTCAGGGGTTGGCAGTGGTGTTTTTTCCCCTTGGTTTCTGCCTTCCTTCCTTTTTCTCTCTTTGATCTCAAACCAAAAAGCATGCAGTGTGTTAAGTGTAGCTTGCAAGTTACTGTGGCTCTTTAGCTCGCAGTTATGAGAAACCCGTACTTGTTTCATTCCAAGAAGCAGTGGCTAAACATAGGGGTTCTGCATTTTTGTTACACGTGTGCTCTGAAAATTAAGGAAAAACAGGGGCAGCAAGTTGGTTACTGCATGCCTCAGCCAGGCACCCTTTATTGAAAGAGCACTCACTGTTTTAATGAAATCAGTATGTAAATCTGAGGAAGTCTAGCCAACTTTGTGTGGATATTGTAAAAGCAAAGTCTTCGCAACACCCGTTCGGCGTGGCATCCGATTGGCCTTGTCAAAATGCTGAGGGATTTTCTTGGGGGACTCCAGTAGAGTGGAGATCAGTGGTTTGAAAGTACATCTGTCTCTTTTCGGAACGCTGTACCAACTCAGAGAAGGAATAAAGGAGTGGATGCCATTATTTTATTTATACACTTTAGCAAAATAATTTCAGATACGGTTCTCTTTTTTAAGATTTTTTTCCCCGTAGGAAAGCTTTTCCACAATAAATAAGTTCAGCATTTTTGATGGAAGAGGCTGGAGAACAGCATAGAAATAAACGGGTTTGGTTTTATTCAAAAAGGGTAAAGAAGATCAAGCACAGGATATGACAAGCTGCTTTTTCATCTCGAAAATCACGCTGCACAAAAAAGGGCTGGAGAGGGGATGGAACCCTCTCCTGGAGCAGACAGCACACGCGGGTTTTCATTTGCAGAAAGTGCTGTGAAATTTTTCATCCCTGCGGTAGCTCCGTGGCCAGCCCAGCTGGTTCCTGGTGCTGGTGATATGCTGTGCTGGCAGGAGGCGTGAGATGAGAAGATTGGGTCAGAGCTGATTTGTGAGGTCCTGGGCAGAGTAGGATGGAGGATGGATTCTGTGGTCATGGGGTAAATAAATTACTTCACTGTTTAATTATCACTGTGGCCCTGAGCATTTGCCCCGATGGTTTAACCTAAACCATCTTCCACCTGCCCACCCCAAGCACCGTTCTTCTCCTTCCCCTGAGAAGCTTTGCAGCCGTGTAGGAGCGGGGCAGCGGGTCGCACAGCGTGCAGTGGGGACAGCACCATGTGCACCTATAGGGATCACATCCTGCCCAGGGCTGAGATGAACTGAGATGAACTGACTGCTCCCTGCACGAGTAACTGAGTTTTCCTATCAGCAGATATTTCTGTTTTCTTTTTATTAAAGGAAAAAAAAAAAAAAAGCAACCACTGAAGTGTTTATAGCAGCATCTCCTTACAGTGACTTTTATCACTTGTTTACATCTTGAACATAACACTTCCTTTTACAAATGATAAGCTGTTAGTTTTTAATGTGGTCAAGTTTATTTTTTTTTCTTCTGCAATGAAATAAAGAAATAGCAGTCTGAGTTCCTTGCTTTGTCACTGCTGCTGAGCACATCTCCCATCGCCCCGTGGAGCCGTGGGGAGGAGCAGCTCCTCCACGTGCACTGGTGTGAGCTGGGTGTCAGGCAGCTCTGGTCTGTGCTGCCAGGGTTGCTCTGTGCCTGTGATGTATTCTGGGCTGCCTGAAGGACGGGCTCGGTGATGGAGCTCTCCTTAAGCTGCACCCAACGCACCATGATGTGCATTAGCTTTTGTTGATAATTTCCTAGGGATTTTCAGTGTTGAATGTAACTCCACTACTATAAAACACTGTGTTAGAGGGGTAACTGGAAGTGAATTTTAACCTTTTGTTTTGTTAGCAGTGTGGCATTGCTTGTATCTGGTGCATGTGTTACTTGCCCACCTTCAGTTCTGGAGCCACGATACCCAGCAGCAGGCGTTACCTTGGATAGTGGACCCTTAACCAGTGCTCTGTCTCACCATGGAACAGGTTGTTCTGGCAAGGAACAGGTGTTTGCCTTTCCTTTGGAAGCCACTGGTGACTCCTTCTCATTTTACATTTTTTCCTCAATCACGGGATGTGCTGTTGTTCTTCATTGGAATCATTGCTGACTTGCAGTCAGGCAGGCGCAGTGTGGCTGCTGCCCTGCAGCGGTCGGAGCAGCTTCACACCAGGGCTGGAGGGATCTGGGGGCAGAGCTGGAGCTCAGCACCTGGGTAAAGAGGAAGAACCTGATCAGAGAACACTCAGCTGGGTTGCTCTGCTCATGAGAGTGACCAAAGCTGTAGGTTTGAGCACTTCCCGCATCTCAGCCTCTCTGTGGGCTGAGCGGGACAGTCCAGTGCTATGAGAAGCTGCCTGCAGGCTCGGGAAGGGGAAGTGGTTCCATTCTGCCCATTTGTGTTTTACAGGCTGTCTTGACATCTGGTGTTTTAGCAGAAAATTGAGGACGTGTAACCGTATTTTGAAAGCAAATGTGTAGTTTTAACAAACATGCGATCTCCATAGTGCAAGGAGAGCACTTTGAAGTTCAGAGGTTTGAAGATTATTCTAAAACCTCACTCTTGAAGCTCAGATCTGTGTACACGTGCCAGCTGTTGGCCAAGCCTTCATCTGTGGCGATGTCTCTGCAGTCAGACCGTGCTGCTGGTGCTCTGCCCCAGGCCCCCAGGTGCTGAGCAGTTACATGGGCGTAGTGCTGTGCGCGCCGTGGTCCCGCTGCAGCCGCTGCAGGGAGCACTCACCATGACAAGCAATGAAATGGTTTGCATGTCTAATGCTATTTTCACGGCCTGTCTGGTTTGTATTTTCTTTCTTTTTTTTTTTCTTCCTTTTTTTTTTTCTTTTTTTGAGTGTTTTCCATAATGGTCAGACCTGCATGATGCTCTGTGAGCCGCTGCCTTGGTACAAATAATGCGTACCACGACCAGGAGCGCAGCCTATTCAGAAAACCAAACCACTTCCGTCAGCTCTGCACTGATGGGCACTATAGGAACACCTACAGTGGAAGGACAGATGGTTTTTTTTCCTAACAACAGGCACCGCTGCCTGGTAACTGCTCTATTTCTCTGTAAAACGCCTTCCTAGTGGGCTGTGCCCTCTGCACTTCTGGTAACTTGGGGAAAGGGTATTGATTTTTTTCCTGGACCTGCTGTGAGTTGGCTTTTGCTGAAATGTAGTGACTCAGCTGCCCTCCCACCTCTCTGGATCCAATATATTGGGATTTATCTGGTTTGAAGGCTGCAGAAGCATTTCCATGTAACACAGCTCTTCTGACACCTTGTTCTCATCACCTTTCCCAAACCTTTAGGTATGGATCAGGTCCTACCACTGCATTACTTTTCCTAGCCCAAGTCTTCCATGCAATGCAAGCACTCCCATGCACCACTGACCTTCTGCCAGCGCCTGCATCCAGCTGCAGCAAGGCCAGCATGGGTGCTGCAGATGGCTTGTAGGCTGGTGGCTGTGAGCACAGGACCAGGCTGTCGTGAGTCTGTCCCTGCGTTTGCCCTTCTGGAGGTTGAGAAGAGGCCACTGAAGCATCAGGTGTGGAATTTCTTTCATGCCCAGAGCTGCTGTGTGCCAGACCCACAGCCCTACCCTTTCCCTGCGTGCAGAGCCAGGGGAACCCCCATCAGCCTCCCTGGCCAGCAGTTTTCTCCAAGCCTTTCCACTCCATTTCAGATCAAGGATTGGGATGCAGGAACGAATCAGGCCTCTTTGCAGTGTTTTATCACCTGATGATGGTTAACCACAGGCTACTTGACTGTAGCCATGGGAATGGCAGCAGCTTTCAGCACCCTGTGCCTCTTCTCGCTGTGCTCGCTCGTTCTTGCAAAGAGTGTGAGATGAGTGTGAGGACAACACGCGGGCAGGGGATTGCTGCAGGAGCCCAGCCTGCAGAGCCCTGTGTGGCCACAGCTTCCTGCTGCTGGGCGAGGCAGCAGTGGGGCTTGGTGGCTTTTGGAGCATCACTTAGAGCACACAGGGAGCCTGCAGTAATCTCACTATTACACTATGTCTTCAAGCACATACTTTCTGTAGGATTTTGCTCGATAATCCACTTAAGTAAATGCTACAGTGCTTTGCCTCTAATGGTTTAAGTGTTATTTGTAGTGTCAAAGTTTGTGAGCTTCGCTCTGTGTGTGAATGCTGTATCACTCAAGCATGTAGATGCTACAGAAAATCCAAAAATAGGCCTTGGGAAAAACAGCCGCCTTGGAAAAGAGAAAGGGGAAGAGTCAGTTGGTTGTATTCATGGGTTTAAATGATGAGTCTGACCCCGGCTCGTTTTTTTGATTTACTGAGGCTTGTTCTGTTCTGTTAGAAGCACCGACTGGCGGCGAAGGAACAACAGGTTCTCAGGGAAAGTTGTGGGCAAAGCCTTTTGATTTTCAAAGTAAAAATTCCAGTATAAATTGGTGACACCTTGTATTGAGAGAGGTTTGAGTCCTTTGCTTTTCATGGATTTCTCTTACCTCTTGTTGTCATGGGGACTTCTTTTCCCTGA